AGCCCAGCATTTGCGTCAAGTTTGTGGAGAGCTGACCGCTCCTCCTGCATAAGCACCCATGGTCTAGTGGCTATGACGTCAGCCTAACACGCTGAAGGTCGCCAGTTCGATCCTGGCTGGGTGTATGGTGCAGCGCGATATGCGGGTGTATGGGCGCTGGCCCTCACGTCCGCGCCTTCAAAAAGCCGACTACTGTTGGACATGCTTCTCAGTACCTGCAGAAGCCGCGATAGCTCAGTTGGGAGAGCGTCAGACTGAAGATCTGAAGGTCCCCGGCTCGATCCCGGGTCTCGGCATGTTGCTCCAGTGAGTAGGCGGAACTCGGAACTATTTTTTGGCTGGCAAGAAACTTACGAGGAACTACTTTTTGGCTAGCCAAAGAACAGCCAGGTGGGAAGGTCGCAGGCTCGATCCCGGCTGTCTCAAGCTCACCGGATGTCGCTTGAAAAGCTGTGAAGGAAACCCGCGCGAAACAGGGGAAACCCGTCGGGAACCCCTGTACACCCAGCTTTGGTGTCCAGTCCAGAAACTTTGGATGTCGCTGGAGAAGCTCGGAGGGAAACCCGCGCGAAACAGGCGAAACCCGTCGGGAACCCCTAGCGCAACGCTGTGCACCCAGCTTCGAACCTCCAAGGTCGCTTGGGGAAACCCGTGCGAAACAAGGGAGACCCGTTGGGAACCTCGTGCAACGCTGTACGCCAGCTTTGGCGTTGAGACAAGAAACTTCCAAGAAGTCGGGATCCCCGCGCGACGCAGGGGAAGCTGTTGGTCACCGGAAACCCGGCTGCCGGAATCGTGTTCAAAATTTTGCGGAAACCCACGAGACACTTGGACCGTGTTCAGAACCTCGGCTTTGGCCCTCTTGGGGAGCGTCGCTGTGTATAACTGGCCATCCTGGCCATCCTGACATTCCTCTTCGTCCCCCTCTTCCCGCCTTCTAATCTTTTGTAATGCATGCCGTAATTTGCCTGTTCTTCGCTGCCCAACATGCGACAAAGCCTCCTGTGGGATTCGAACCCACGACCTCCCGCTTAGAAAGGAGCCTTGGAAAGGAGCCCTTAGAAAGGAAGGAGCTTCCTACCCCTGTACTTTTCCGCGTGTAGTGGCTTCACTTCCGTAAGCAGTGACAGTTTCACTTCCGTAAGCAGTGACACCTTTTCCGCTCAGAGTGATCATGGTTCCGCAAGATGTGACAAGTCTTGGAAACCAAGCATGAGACAGCCACCAAAAGCCAATATAAGAAAGTTAACAGCGTAAATTTTAGGTGATCAAAGAAAATGAGGGGCACCCTGTTTTGCAGAGAGGAAATTGGAAAAAAACTCATTGCAATCTGCCAGCCCTTGTCGCTTGGCCGGACCCAGGCTCCAAATAGTTCCCCAGACATCCCCCTACTTAAAAGATATTCACTTGCAATTGGACCTGAAAAGTGATCTTCAAAACCGCAAAAAAGTGGCATTCTGGGTGCAGAGGTCTAACCTACCCACAAGAGGGGTTGGAGCAAAATAACTTAAAATACAGAAGAAAAAAAAAAGACAAAAGGACGAAAAAACACCCCCCAAAATACAAATCCCAGCAGGCCTTGGATTGCAGACTCAGAAAATAAACAGAACCACACTCAGCGGCAGACTCAGTTTCCCCCCCCTCCCCCCTCCCCCCGCCCTGTCCACTTTTCTTTCTTGTTCTGATGAGTTTCTGCTTTTTCTCTGATTGTTTTTGTTCATAGGTGTTCTTCATTTTTGCCTTTCCCTCCCCCCCTGCCCCCCTTCCTCTCCACCCTTCCCCCCCACCCCAGTGTCCTTTTTTTTAAGTGCTTTCTGATTTGTTCTGCGTTTGTTCTGCGTTTCCCTTGAGTCTGCCTCTTGAGTCAGAATTTGTTTGCTTCTTGAGTCTGACTTTCAAGCTGTTTTGGTCTGCTTTTTCTCAAATTTAGGGAGCCCCGGACCCAAAAGAAGTCCCCTCCCGGCGCCGCGCCTTGCGCCTGGGGCTTCGCACCCCGCAGGGCGGTTGAGGTTCCCTCCGTCCGCGGGGCGATCTGCGGACTCACGAAGGCCAGAGCCTTCACTGGCGGAGCGCGCGATGGGTTTTGGTGCGGTCCACCCCGGTCTTCGGCTCCCAGAAATGCAAAGAAATTCAAGCAAGTTTGCCAAGGTATCTTCTTTCCACAGACTTCATGAAAGTGAAGAGAAAAGAGGTCTGCAGCCGTGCCCAGTTTGAGCAGCCCAATCTGCCGGCAGGCACTATGATTCTTATTGCAAGGGGTTCAGCGGCCATTCTGAAAGCCTGGCCAGACTTAGACCTGCACAAAGTTCCTGAGAAAACCCAAGGCAAAAGAAGCCAACATCTTGTGCACTATGAATGATCATGTCAAGAGAGATCTACAAAAGAGGCTGAAACTTCACCAAGTTCGTATTCCCTAAGGATCCGCTGACTTCCCTTTGATTCATCTTTCAGACAACCCAACCTTGGCATATCAGTTGTTTAGGCGCCGAACTGGGCTTGATCCTCTCTCCTCCCGGGCGCCGCACCCCGCCGAGGCCCAGCAGAGCCGCGAGCCGCGCCATGACCAAGGGGCAGGGAGTTGGAGGCGGGGGCAACTCCGGAGCCAAAGGAAAACGCCGACCAAAGGAGCCCTTTACGCCATAGCCATGACAAAAGGAGCCCTTTCAACATGTTGCCATGGCTGTGGTCATGTTCAACAGCTGCAAGCTTTCCAGGCAAGCGGTCATGCCATGGTCATGTTCATGAACACCACTCCGAAAACATACATTGCATTACAAGATCATGCAAAAAGAAACCAGGAAATCCCAGCAGGCCGCACTTATTGTTGTTTTGGGTCTACAAGCTGGTTGGGTGGTACCGGTAGTACCTATTTTTGGGCTGAATGCCAAGTCCTTTGGGCACCCTGCTCCATTCCTGTCCGCGGGTTGAAGGAGTTCTGCTTGCAGAAGCCAGGGTCGATGACCTCAGCCGGTGGCAAATCCCTGCGGTCGTCGACCAACCAACATGGTATCAAGTTAGGGGCTCTCAAGCAGCTTGCTCGAGTCCCTGGGGCTTTCAAATAGAACTAGTAGGACCATCATCTTTGCAGGCAACCCATACCTCATGGCAATGTCCGGGATCATGCTGGATCCAAAGGGCTCTTGCAAGCAACCTTTCTCAGCTACAGCTCAGTCTTGGAATCATTCAATGGACAGCACGATGGCGAGACCGCAGGGTCTCTTGCGACCAATTCGGGGTTGACACTGATTGGGGTGTTTCCAAAGACGGGGGCGTCACACACCTCATGGCTGGTTCACCTGGTTTCTAGTTGTGAAAGTTCGCCAAAGCGGATTCCCTGCTTTAGCTGACGACCCATTTACAACTTTGTGAGTTGTCGGAAAATTGTCACACACCCGTGCACTTGCAAGCCCAATACACACGGCAGTGTGGAAACTCAGCCACCATGGCAATCTGGCCAAGCCACCCAAAATATTAAATTTGTCAAAGGATAAACAAGCTAAAAATGGCATAGCCCAAAACAACTGGAGCCGTAAAAGCACATGGGGACCCACAACACAAGAAACAAAACTGGGTAGCATGACCTGAATCATGTAAAGTGCAAGAGTAAAAAAGCAACACGGTAAAACGTGAAAATGCAAAAAACAATCACAAAAGTAAACAAAGCCAACGAAGCATACAAAACTTTGAGGTACCCATATATGTATGTGTTCAAGTAAACTTGCCTACCGTTCCCCTCTGGTTTTACTTGGATCCTGCCATTGTATTTTCTTCACCGCTTGACTGGTTGAAATGGTGCGGGTCGTCATATGTTGTTGGTTTCAATTGTTGACCGCACGATAGACGTGCATCATAAACAAGACCGCAACATAACAGGCATAGTTGTATGCCGGATATTTTAGACATATGCCGCATATGTGGTAGAACCATGCTAAGAATAAATTAGAAACAAGCTGGACATATGGAGGACAACTCGCTACTGTAGAACTTAAACACACAACATTATGCTGAAAGGCACCAGATTTTGATAATGCTGGACAAATACCAGGCAACAAACATTATATTAAGCAGCAAGCACTCATTTGAAACCCTGCTATTAGGCCAGGACAACGCTCACGAACAGTACTTACAGACTGCAAGGTGCAGCCAGAGCACAGGTTTCGGACTTTGCATCAGCATGTTGCACTGGCACTTGAACGGCTGACTTTAAGCTGTTGGCTGTTGATTCTGACTGACTGACTGACTGACTGACTGACTGACTGACTGACTGACTGACTGACTGACTGACTGACTGACAGACTGACTGACTGACTGACTGACTGACTGACTGACTGACTGACTGAATAGCTGACTGAATGGCTGCCTGCCTGCCTGCCTGACTGACTGATTGCCTGACTGCCTGCCTGCCTGCAGCCTGCCTGACTGACTGACTGACTGCGCATTAACGGAGCTCGGCCAGTTCACCATCTGCTAATTCTCACGATGGATCCAAACAACAATTGAGCCGTCCAGCTATCCTCATTGCAAATCCATCCACAACAGTTCGACTCAATGACGCATATGCAATGTGAGCTTCCTGAGCACGTTGGATGAGGTGCAAGTCCATTGCGAAGTAGTTTGGCAAATGCTGATCACACCAGCTTGAAGATTGCAAATGGGGGACCAGTCCCTTGTCAGAGACTCAGGGTCCATGGCCAGGCGAAACACCCTTAAAAAGGGCTATGGGAAAGCATTCTTCCTGCTTGAGGCAACACAGATTCGACTACTGGCGTGGCTGTGTCCAAATCAACGAATAAGGCCCCCCATGCAGGTCTCGGGCTTTCCATCTTGGATGTCAGCTCCAAGTCCAATCAATCGCAGCAACATGTTTATCGTGCAACAGCACACCATTTACGTGTGTATATATATCTGCACATATCTATATGTTGAAACATGTCGAATGATCTCAACAGCTTGAGCAAGACCCATGGAGTACGCACGCGAGATGTTCTAAACCCCGGATCTGTTCTGTCCAACCTCATTGGGATGTACGGGAACGGCTCCTATGCCGCCAGGTCACAAACACAATGTTGTCAATGGTGATGGACGTCTCGGCCTCGGGATCGTTTTTGTGGAAGAACCCTTCGTCTCGATCTGTAACTGACCCGCCCCGAGCCAAAATCCACCAGCGTCCGCTCGGGCTCGCTCCCAAAAATCGAAGCCGGACAAAGTTTCAAAAGGCGCAGAGTCCTTGGAGTCAGGTACCCTATGCGCTTTTTGGTGACTGGCAGGGCGCTGCAGAGACACTTGTTGCACGAACCTGGGCCTGTGAAAGAGGCGCCATGCCCCATTTCCCTCCTTCCCCGGCTTCTGCACTTGTTACTTGGCAGTCAACGTGTTTAGGTCATGAGCACATCTGCTGCCATCAATTGGCGCATGGTTTTGCCTGTGATCATCTAGGATCAGGACTTTCGGGTATACTTTCAAGTCGGAAAACCAGCATGCGTCACAGAGTGACCAACTTGAAGGGATTCAATGAAGGAATTGCTTTCGTTGGAACACCCAAATAAAGGGTTCATGAAGTGGTAACACAAACAAACATAGTTCGCCTAGGGAAAATACAAAAGCTGGGTTGTTTGCGGAGGGGACCCCCTGATGTGTTCAAAGGGCAGTTTGGATGCTAACATTCCTTTGAGTCTAACTTAGAGAGCATGACAAACTAAAACAAACCCAATTCAACAACTCGGAGCAAAAATATGTTAACAAATCTCTCGGAGCCAAAAAATGTTCAAAGGAGCTTGAGAAAAGCGCTCTGTGCGTGTGCATTAATGGGAGTCAGGACATACTTGACCAACTACAATGCTCATGGCCAGTCTGGTAGCTACAAATCTCCACTACAGTAATCTTGAAATCTGTTGAGTGTGCAACAGTGTCTCTTAAAATGCTGCAAGATGTGAGCCGCGTCTGGCATGCTATTGCACCAAGAAGTCCAAGAGAATCCTGAGCTTCCAGACCAGCCCGGTTGCGTACGGGGCCAACCCCTTGTTTGAACATGCTTCAGCCGCTTTAGTTGTTTGAACAACCTTTAAAGGCAACCAGGGCCTCGTTTAAACAAGTCCGGTCACCCTTGCTCTTGCGCCCGCAAAGCTGCTCAAAGCTGCGTCTTCCTTCGGGCTCCGGCGATGTTCGTGGCAAGCACCACCTTGCGCCTCGGCCGAGTTCAACCGTCCGCACACGTGGTCAAAGCAAGCGAGCCCTGCCAAGGGCAGCTTACAGCAAGCAACGGGCAGGAATCCAAATTTCTGCGCCTGTGAGGCAGTGGAGCCATGGCGACGCCTCCATCAAGGACACCGAAGATGTCTATGAGTCTACCTCAAAGCTTTTCTTCAATCGATGGCTTTTTCCAGACTCCCCAAGAAAGCAAAACAAGATACCAACCCGGAACACCCTTGCTCGGAGCTCTTCCCCAGCCGTGCCGCGAACGAGCTTGGGGACAACCACCCGTTCAAACATATCAAGACCACCCTGGGGAACATTCGTCCACACCCCACGACTACCAGCTCGTTCTGCCTCAAACGAATTCCGATTGGGCGGAATGGAGAGCAAAACAAGCGGGTCTGACAGAACGCTCGAAGTACACAACACCCTCTTCCAAACTGGGTGCATTACAGTGACATCCTCAAATGACCCTCTAATTGGTTGAATACTTGTGTGTGTAAAGAGAAGCCACCCAAAGGGAAGCCACCCAAAAGTATTTTTGAGAACCCCTCAAAGGCTACACCCCAAATAGTTTTAACTATGCCACTTTTTGAGCCGTCCGGCTTCCGATTTGCCAAGGTGCGCCCCAGGGGGCGTCTGCTCGAAGATCTTGGCCTGACGAGATTGACGAGATTGGCACTCGGGTAGACACGTGCAATGAGCAATGGGTACGATGTCAAAATAGGGATTTGGAACCCAAATGTAAAATTTGTGTTTGTTTGGTTTCCATTAAAACAAACGGGAAGAGCAGGTTCCCTCAAAAAAGACTGTACTTGGAAGTTTCGCAAAATAGTGAGCCCCTCTAGAGGACCATTTTGACAAACACCCAGGTTCTTGTAGAATGAAAATATGTACAAAAATGCCTGTTGATCTACTACGTCAAAATGAGGGGACACCAAAATGGCTGGAATCCTTTTGCTGTCCCTTTCAAGCCAACAAAAAGGTTAGTTCCCCCCTCAAGGCACACAGCAGTATTCAGCCCCTACAAGTTGTGACGTGCCATCATTTTTCGCGCCGGGAGCAACATGCGTGAATGGCCTGAGCTGAATTTCCATGCGACACTTAAATCTTGGCACTGAAATGACTTAAAATCGGATCCCCCGTAACATAAACACGTCAAAAGGATCCGCTGGCTTTGAAATGGGCTCCCAATTAAAGTTCTATGGTGGCTAAGCGATAGGCACACCTGGAACCCTAAGACACTCTCCGACGCCAGACACCGCCAACTCCCCCTGACCCAGCCAACATTCAAGCTATGAGCCCCCGACAATCTGATTTCCAAAAGGGCACAGGACGCCTGGGTTGCCGACAGTTGGGTTGCCCCCGTGGCATGTCCCCAAAGCCTCAAACCAACAGCAAGGTTCCATGACCTAAGTAGCCGCAGGCAAGTTGAGCATCACTGTTTTCAGCGTTGTGCTGTATGAGCTCTAATGAACAAAACCCCCGAGTTTCAGAATTACAAAGCCGGGGCGCACGAAGCAGCAGATGCGGCACATTCCGAAGTCTTGGCAGCTCCCCGTCAATACAACAGTCAACACTCAGTCAACAGTCAGTCAACGCTCAGTCAACACTACAGTCAACACTACAGTCAACACAAGCAAAACCCTGGCAGGGCCACTCAAACGGCTCAGTGAGTAGTGAAGCAATCAAAAAATATATAAATCTCTTTTTAATTGCCTGATTTGTGGATTTGCTCGCCCTGCCAGGAATGGGTAGTGTTGACTGTAGTGTTGACTGTAGTGTTGACTGAGTGTTGACTGAGTGTTGACTGAGTGTTGACTGAGTGTTGACTGCACAGGGCACGCAACGCTCTACTTTGCGCCGTTCACGGGTTCAGCAATCAGACATGAAACAACGCAACAAAGCGCCCTCTACACCAGTCGGTAGCCGCAGGCAAGTTGAGCATCACTGTGTTCAGCGTTGCGCTGTATGAGCTCTAATGTTGTAAAGGCCGAGTTTTAGAATTACAAAGCCGGGGCGCACGAAGCAGCACATGCGGCACATTCCGGAGTCTTGGCAGCTCCCCGTCAATACAACAGTCAACACTCAGTCAACAGTCAGTCAACACTCAATCAACACTACAGTCAACACTACAGTCAACACAAGCAAAACCCTGACAGGGCCACTAAAACCATCAACAATTAATAAAAACAAATATGTTGATTGCCTGATTTGTGGATTTGCTGGCCCTGCCAGGATTTGGGGATTGTTGACTGTAGTGTTGACTGTAGTGTTGACTGTAGTGTTGACTGAGTGTTGACTGAGTGTTGACTGCGCAGGGCACACAACGCTTTGCTTTGCGCCGTTCACGGGTTCAGCAATCACACATGAAACAACGCAACAAAGCGCCCTCTACACCAGTCGGTGGATGGAAGAAATCTTGCATCTCTTTTGAAACAGATCCATGCCATCTCGTTACGACTGGTGCTCAGTTTGGCCAAGTTGGGTTGGGTCATGCAAGATTTAGGCCATTAACAACCTATGAGCGGTTTTGCTCGTCGCAACTCAATGTTAAGTAGGGGGCGCGGGGTGGCAAAAATGTAGTCTTATAAACTCATGCAAGATTTCTTCCATCAACAGTACGTCTGCTCGTAGGTCCAAAAAGTTGGAAACCTACGGCTTCCAGGTGGGTGGGTGTGCCTTCTGACGGCACCCTTTTTCAGATTCGTTTGACGGGAAGCCAAAAAAAAACCGATCATTGTGCGGCTTCAAACTCCTAATTTGACGCATCCCGTGATTTGCAGAAAATGACCATCTGACCCTCGAGCGGGCCGTCCTGCATGTCAGTGGGCAAGTTCGCATAGATGGGTAGCACCAGCAGCTCTCCCACGGCCGTGCCCATGCCTGGCTGATTTTAAGGGGTGCTGAAAAAGGTGACCATTTCTTTTTTGGGTTCACTGTTTTCAAAGGGAAAAGGTCGGAATTCATTGAACAATGGGGAAGCGCCCAACACTAGATTTCAAAATGGCCCAAGCAAAGGGATGCTTAAATTAGAGGGAAACACACTCACCCCTCCACTGTCTCAATCAGCTCATGAGCCTAAAAAATGCGCTATTGGGGAGGAACCTGCAACACCCAGCGCTTCCAGGTGCTCGTTTAACTGGCACTTTCGCAAAGTGCCCGTACCAGCACTTTGTCAAGAGGCTGGCTTTCAACACCGAAGGTGCGTGAGAAACCCGTGAAAGACCGTGAAAGCCTTGTGAAAACAGCGTGAAAAGACACCCTTCGTTTACTCATGCTGGGGCTCCCAGTAAAGACAGCACTTTTATCAAAAAGGGCTCGCTTAACTTGTCCTTTGGACTTGCTGGGACAAATATTATCCTGAACCAAGTTAATCTTACTTTTCTTGAGCGACCTCTTTTTTGGGGTCGTTTTATATTGACGGGAAACCAATAAAAAGACCGCCCTTTTTAGGGAGTATCTGTTTCAGAGACAATCCCGACTTGGTCAAAAGTGCAAATACCCAAAGGCGTACCGGGCACCACAGTTCAGCCCGTTTTGGATGTGATGGACCCATCCAAACCAAAGCAACCAAACATATATATATATATATGTATATATGTATATATCTTGTCAATGAAGGGTGAAGGGACGCTTTGGCAGGTTCGTCAAACGTAGCCCTTGCTAGTTTCCTCAGGCCAGGGTAGGCAGTAACCGAAGCCGAAGGGTGCAAGACAGGGTTCTGCAATGACTTAGGCTTCGATCACAAACTGTCAATTCTGGAAACATGACATGACACATTCCGGCAACCCCTCAACCCCAGTTAACAAATGCTGAAGCCACCATAGTGTAGCTTGCCCATCAAAGCAGCAGCAGTCATGCAGGTGCAACGTGTGTATGTGTGACAAGGATGCAAGGTCTGCTAGCATGACCACGGCCGCTTCGCTGGAATGCCAACAATTTTCTGGATAGTTATTCACAAAGCACTTGTGTGCTGCGTGTCAAAGTGTCTTATCAGTTGCCCTTTGATTTGCTCCTTTACTTCTCCTGGCGTTTACCTTAAGGGGTACGGTCCTGGGGTCTGGTGGTGAAACATATACGTGTGTAACCTAGGAACCCTTTCGGCTTTGGATTCAAATCCGAGAAGCACCAAAAGTGAGGCCACATGATGCCGACGACATTCAGGCCTAGAACGATCTAACCCACAACAGCAACCAGAAGAATGCCTGTCACTGGTGTCAGCTTGCCTTTTCGTTGATTTGGACAAGGGATGGATGTTTTGGTGTCCTTCTGGAAAAATATACACATTCCACTGGAAAGTGTGAACCAGGCTGAAACCAGCGCAATCCATCCATTCACCTCCACATCACGCCAATGGACGGAAGAAAAAATGAAGAAAAAAAAGAAAAGCTGAGGAGCACACGTGGTTGTTCCTTGTGCCTCTCCAAAAACATTCAGCCTCTCTCTGCCAAATGGTGTGTTTTCCTTTGGCGTCCCCCAAGAACACACGAACATCATACGTGCTTGTCCTTTGGTTCTCCCAGACAAACACACGAAAATACGTGATGTCCCTTGTGTTGCCCCGCAAACAAGCCAAACGGCGGCTTGAGACGCTGGGCGGTTCCGCCTCTGGTCTTGAAGCTGAGCAAATCCATGGCCTGCATTGAAGAACAACTCGCCCTGGAAAAAGGGTGAACCAACATTGGGCAACCTTGTTGGGCTATCTGCGTTTCAAGGTACTCCCCATCCCCACCGCAAAAACAAGAGGGAAAACGGAAAACGCCACCTGGATGATCATAAATGGGTCCTAACCAATGGTATCCTTTCGGATGCAAAAAACACATCATGATTGACCTTTGGTGCAAGCGATCCGAACCTGTTTATTGGAATCCATTAAAATGGTTCCGTGATACCCAAACATCCATTTGACTGGCTGGACTATCAAAGCATCCAGCCTAAAAGAAGTGGCCCCCCAAGCGCCTTTATGGGAGGTCGCCAACCCCCCTGTGTGAGAATGCAAATTCATCTGCTCAGACTCATCTGGCTGTGCCGGTGGCGCGTAAGGTTGGCTATGCTAACGTCGGTTCCCGTCAAGCGTCCAAACCCAAAAAGGGGTCCATCTTATCTCATTCACGTGTCAGGTCGCCACTCTGCCAGAAAGGGCCGCTTTTTGGGCAAGTGATATTGCTTTCCAGTTGCCCACAAAAAAGCGGCATTGAATCCCAATGGCATGAACCGAGTGCCACCCAAGCAGGTTTGGACGCCACATCTCCAACTGAAGGACCCCCCAAAAGATGGGTGGCATCCATTTGGTGTTCCTTTGAATGAGCCCCCAAAACAGGTACCATCAAGAAAATCACATGGCAAGACCCACCAGAAGCCTACAGGGGCCCACCCAAAACCATTACCAGTTCTGTCCGCTGCTCATAAGCCGCCCACATCCTCCCTAGGTTTAGGCGGACGCCGGGCCGCCATGGGGGCTGTGATTTTGCAGACAAATGCCATGCAGTTGGTTGGGTGTACAAATGCTTTCCCCAGAGTCTTTTACAGATAGCATGGTTTCATGAAGCAAACACGAAAGAGACAGGGAATTCTGGTTGTTGATGCGTCAAACTCCTTCAACATATTGCATGCCCTATCGCGTTCCTCTCTATCCAACAAGCATCAGGATGAGAGGGAAAGGGCAATGGACCTGTGAAGCTGCAATTTGGAGAAGCCTATCAAGAAATAGACAGAAGTACATCATGTTCCTTCCATCCACACATTCACTCACCTCACATTCTGTCTCTTGAGCAGAGGTGAGATTAAAGGAAAAAAAAAGGAAACAACATTGTAAAGGCATGCCCATGTCAATGTGTCATGTGATAATGCCTTTGTTATCTTGTCTTTCAACAGCAAACATTGGATTAGTAGATAGGTGAAGCACACACACAATTGCTTCTAACCAACAGAAACAGAAGAGAACCCCGGTTGATAGAATCGTTGGCAAAGAAAACTTAGTATGAACATGAATGCGGAAGAGGTATCATGTGCTAGCCATGTAATCTTGTCCTCAAAAACACTGCCCCCATGATGGCCCCTTCGGTAAATGTAGGGGGGGTCAATTCCATGTGTATAGTCTGCCCAAGGGAGAATGGACTTGTAAATGGAGATCTTCCCAAAATGGGGGGGGCAGCCTAACATGGTGCGGTTTCCTTTTGGTTTCGTCCGTTTCATGAGTCATCCCTATTGAGGACATCTGCCCATGGCGCCTCCTCGATCTCCTGCTGGCCGGTGAAGAACACGAGGCAGTCCCCGGGCCTCGCGGCCGTCGCTTCATCTGCGCCTCCCCATTCTACTTCTGCTAGGCTGTACTACATGGCTGGTGGATCAAAAGCAGTGGCTCTTTCCGTAGAACATGTGACACGATCGGTTTACCAGTGGGCTTCATAAAGAGCATCGCCCGAAAATCTATTGATAAGCTGGTCTACCAACATCCAACTTCTTTCTATTTCCGCTACAGTAGAACCGCCTACTAAACCGCCCGCAGTTTGGGCGCTGCTGATACTGTTTTTCCGTCAGACCTCTAAGGCCACTGAAAGATGCTTCCATGCCCCCTCCATGAGGGAAACCGCTTCGTGGTCGAAGCATATTGCCCACTGACAGCCGTGGCCTTCTCCAAAGCAGCTGTCCTCTGATATGTTCCCATACGGAACATGGGTGTGTTTTCAGGGTACACTTTTCAGGTTGGTCCAAAGGGCGATCAAAAGGAAGACCTTGTTTGGAGTCCTGGCGCATAGCCATACTTCAAATCCCTGGGGCCAGCGCCCTTGCGTGAGATGAATCTGGAGCACAGTGATGACCTGGCATGTGGCTCATAAGAAACACAAACCAGGTGCGTGCCCTTTCTCCTTGAAAGAACCAGAATCAGGCTACCCCTCAAAAATGAGCCTGTATTTCTACTGAGGCCCACAAATGGACGTTGCCACGAATTAGAGGGCACCGGCAAACGGGCGGTAAATCGGTGTGTATCTTTGGCTCTACAAATGCGGCGCACCGACATCACCTCATTTGGCAAAGACAAATCTTTTCCCAGGGCTTGTCTCTAAATGCAGAACCCCCGAAATGGGGTGTGTCGTTTCAAGTCCCAAACAAGTGCACCCTAACAAGCTAATGAGTATCAAGCGGCATACGCCGATTTGTAAATCAAATCGTGCTTAGATGGCAACAACATCTCCAAGCAAGGACGCAAAAGCACCGAAGCGCGTGTCATCCCGGTACACCTTTCTGCAGCGAATGATCAGCTATTGAATTGGCAAATACGGTTTGAAGCCCAGCTGTCTCTTTACTCCATTATTACGTTTACTCGTTTGTTCTAGACTCGACCATAGTCTGCTGCACGATCTGGGCACTCAGGCTTCTTCTTGGATGGAAGCGAGGCCTTGTCATGCGATTTGAGGGGCAGGGACTCATTCCCCAGGCTTAGGCATCGGCGCAGGCATCCAGGTAGTTCGCCTCAGGGGCCTTTGTGTGGTGGATACTCACCTCGAAACGCGTAGCGCGCGCTGCAGTACAGCATTGCTTCTGAAAATTAGGGACCCTGCCCTGTGCCTGGTGTCCGTTTGGTTTCCCCAAGGCATCTGAAACTTGGATCCCGTTTTGAAACAGACTTGCACAATCCTCCCTTTGAAGGCCATGAAGGACTGCTCGGTCAAAAGTACATTGTTATTAGCTCATCCTGGCTCAGAACAAACAAAAGAAACTAGCATCCCCAGTCGCCCCAGTCCTTTCTTTCTCTGAGATACAGCAACAAATGCAAAGACTCTTTCACCTTGCGGCTCCCCAGTCCTGTCCACTGCCTTTCTGGCCTTCCAAACTCCCGACTCGTCGCACTGCTCGGGCGGTGGGGGTTGTATCAACGGGTTTGGTACACGCTAACGCAGACACTCTGATCGACTCTTGGCATGGATTGTTTGCTCATTAACTTGGATGAACGTCTTATTTCGATCATATTTATTACATAGACTGCATGAATAAAAGATAGTCCATCCAACCATCATAAACTATTCAAGAAGTGTAGGCTAGGCAAAGAGCCTCCCCTGCTTTCACCAGTTGGAGACATGACATCTCTACAGCTGCGCTTTCTCACTCCTAGATGCTATGTTAGAATATTGCTTGGCAAAAGTGAACACGCCTGATTGCTCTCCTCCTCGAATCCCGAAATCAGACCCATGTGGTGCTTCAAAGCGCCTCAAGAACGTCATTCAGGCTGCCGCAGTCCCCCCCATAAAATGGATGGCCCCAAGTCACCACCCGGCCATCTTCTCGGACAGCAGCAAAGGCCCCGTATTGAGTTGCGTGGATCTGCTGGATGTGCCAGAGCTCGTCTCGAACCGAACTACTGTCTCCACCGCTTCGTTGATCACCCCAAGATACAACTCTGCCATCCTCCAGGATAGCAGCATAGGAGCGCTCAGTTGTTTTGATGGACTGGACGCGCTTGAGCTGGTCTTGCACACAACTGCTGTTGCCGCCGAAGCCCTGGTGACCCCAAGTCACGGCACTGCCATCCTCCAAAAGGGCGGCAAAAGAGCCTACATTTGCAATGATCTGCCGGACCTGGTTGAGCTTGTCTTGAACCGCACTTCCATCGCCACCGTATTCTGGCTCACCCCAAATAATATAATAACCACACTGCCATCTTGGCGGATAGCAGCAAAGGCAAAGGTGGTTGCCTGGATTTCTTGCACCTGCCTCAGCTGATCTTGCACAGCACTACTGTCACCACCACAGCTTGCATGACCCCAAGTCACCACCTTGCCGTCTCCCAGGAGGGCAGCAAAAGCC